CGTCTGGGGCTGCAGGAGCTGAGTTCGAGCGGGGAGGCTTTTAATGCACAAAGGGAGAAGACGTCCTTGTTCGAGTTCAGCCTGGAGCCGCTCTCCTTTGGTGCTGGTTTACTCCGTCAGTCTGGTGGAAGCGGAGCTCAGAGAGCTCTGGTAGCCCACCATCAGCATGCTGTAGCCGCGAGCCTGTTAAAACAGCAAGCCCTGAGCGTGCCCAGGCTCTGGCCCGCGGTCGGTGGGTCTGTCTGCTGCTGAGCCTTGTCTGCGGCGGTTGGTTCTCCGGCACGCTGGCACACAGCAGCAGCAAACTCCTTTCCCTTCCAGTGCTTCCCAATCCTTTGCACAGGCGGCACCCCAGACGCTGCCCAATTATTAAGCTTTTATGCAGGGTTTATTGGAACGGGGACATTGGAGTCTTGGGGGAGCTCCGGGGCTGGGTGACGCTGCGGGAGCGGTGGGGTGGCGCCCTGTGCCGCCTGCTGTGTTCGGGGCCGGCGGCAGAGAGCAGTGTTTCTTCACAAGTGGGAAGGAAGGGAAGGAGCAGCCGCCCGCCCTCCGGCACAGCACTTTTCTCACCTTACCCGGGAACTAAACTCTCCCAAAACCGTGCTTCCATCCGCTGCTGATACTGGCAAACCAGGGTGCCCCCTTAGTGGGGAGATCCCGCTGCCCTGTGGCGTGGATGACAGCTGAGGTGTCACGTTTTCTAATTAAATTTTCGTTTCCATCTCCTCTAGTGCTCTGTGCCGCGAACGAAGCGTAGCCCTGATTGGAGCTGTGTTCCTTCATTTATTTAAATCAGTAGTGCTGTCTGAGGGGCGTTGATGCATGTGTGTCTTTCGCAAGTGCTTTTAGTCACCGGCTGACCCCTGCTGTTTTGAAGAGGGGGGAAAAAAAAAAAAAACCCACTGGCAGAGAGTGCTGTGGTGAGAAAAACGTGTCACTGCTCCCCGCCTTGCCAGATGCTGGGTGCAGCTGCCTTGCTGAGCACCACCCCTGCGTCTGCAGGCGTCCTGGGTGGCGTGTGGTTGGGAGCAGTTGGCAGGAGCTTCGGCGTGTCGGGGGACTGCATCTCGCAGCCTCCGCAGTCACCGAATTGCACTGCCCGTCCCCTGCAGCCTGCCCTGCCCGCTCTCGG